CCCCAAAACCCCAAAACCCCAAAACCCCACTGGAGTGGCCACTATTTGAAAATCTGGAATTTTATTTAGAAAATGATGAGAGATGCAGAACCAGAGGACTTTTGGTCCCCTGTTGTTATAATTTTTGGAATTCAGGTCATCTGTTATATAGCAGCTTTGATAATGAAAGATAATAGTATTGTCGATATTTTCTGGGGATTGATAGTCAGTAAGTTAATCAGTAAAACATATAGGCTGATCCATGACAATCATCTTAGTACTGAATAACAATTGGCATCATCGAACCATCGTCACACTAATACTGATCTGGCTCTGGGGTATCAGAATGGCAGTCTACGTTGTACTAAAGCATAACGGTGAAGATTGGCGTTTTGCTGATATGAGAGAGAAATTCCGTAGAGCTGGTGGAAAAGCCCTTGAAATCATACTTTCAGGGGTCCTCTTCTTTATGACTGGCTTGACAATGCTGCTTATTTCTAGCTCAGCTCATTTCATTGCAATTTACTCGCATGAGAATGATGATCTTTTCGTTCTTGAATGGATTGGTTGGGTAATTATCTTTGTATGTATCATCCTTGAGTTTGTCTCGGATATACAACTTCTTGTGTTTAAAAAGAAGAAAGATAATAAGGGCAAACTTTGCATGACAGGGCTATGGAGATGGTCCAGACACCCTAATTTCTTTTTTGAAGCAGTTGTCTGGTGGGGCTTTTACATTACAGCTTGTTCTATTAAGTGGGGATACATTACAATTTGGGCTCCAGTGGTTATAACACTAACCCTTCGCTATGTTTCAGGGGTCCCATTGATAGAAGAAAAGTATAAAGATAGAGAAGACTTTGAACAGTATAAGAAGCAGACTAATTGCTTTATTCCATGGTTCCCTAAATCAGCAAGCCAAGTAACTCAGAGGATCATTGTTGAGAACCCTGAGAAAGAGAGAAGAAGGAACTTGCCATAATGGCAAAATTAATAGTTTGTTACTAAGCTTTCACATATTTTCAATATTTCCGGATAAAAAGGGGTTTTGGGGTTTTGGGGTTTTGGGGTTTTGGGG